TAACATGCACTGATTTTCTGAACCCATTTTTTGCATGATCCAAAGGCAGCATAGCTTTGTCATGGCTGTGGGATGACACTTTGAGCCGTGCACTCTGTGAGAAAGGATTCTTCACTGAATGTAGTGTCTGCAGGAGCAGCTGGCAGCCTGGCCATACAAAGTACAGGGACTTGCTATTTCACTGACCAGTGTCTTCATTTTGGGGGTGCAGAAAGGGAAAGTGTGGCTCAAAGCTGCTGTAGGTGACAGTGCCCAGCACCATCTACCACCTACTAGTGGGAGGCACTGGCACAGGCTGCCCAGAGCAGCTTTTTGTAGCAACAGCCTAAAAATCTTGTCTTTCTGAACCTCAGAAGCCAAGATTTCTTCTCTTTCATCTCTCCCCATAGGGTGAGGAGGTCTTTAGTACAGGCCCAGCTAGATGCATGAGAAACAACCCTGACAAATGGTTTAAATTATAAAGTACAGCAGTGGTGCCAAGTCCTGCAGTACGAGTGCCAAGATTGGGAACGTGGCTGTTCCCCAGCACTTGGCAAGGTGGTGACATCTCGTCACCGCTCTCCGTGAGCGCGAGGCCCACACAGGTACACGGACCAGTTGGCTGGGGCAGGATGCAAAGCAGTGTGGGAAAGCAGGAGGAAGCCTGCCAAGCTTTTCCGAAGGAAAGTCACAGTCACATTTTTTCAGAGGGTTCTGCTCCAATGTGAAATTACTCCTGGTGGCAGACAGAATGCAGCCTCCAAAGCTCTCTATCAGTTACACTGATGTGTCATGTGGGCTCCATCCCAGGTTGCACTGGTAATGAAGGGTGAACACACAACTATTTACTTCCAGTAAAGCACGGTCCTGACACAGAAAGCTGTAAGAGTGCTTTTGGAGCAAGTGCTGATTGTTGGAAAAGGCACCTGGAACTGCAGGGAAAAAAAGAACAAAAACAAAAACAAAGCCATAAAATAAAGAAGTCTGGTTTTACATTTAATTCCTCCTGGGTCCAAAGCAGAAGGGTTTTTTACCTTCATTGGAAATAATGCAGCATCTACATAGCTGAATCCATCACCAGTTTCATCTCTTGGTGGGAAGAACCTGCAAGTCAACTATGGCCAACTTTCTGTTTTAAAGCATTACCATGCTAGACATGTTAGTCAACTGTTCAAGAATCCTTTTGTCTCACTACACATTATTCACAGCTTACTGCCATTCTGCTGTCTTCTTTCAGAGATGGCCAGACGTTTAATTTTGAAGCCTGCTATAGGGCATCAGAGCTTTCTATCCAGAAGATCATGCAGATGCACTGTACTGGTTGATGCTCCTTTCCCAGTCAAAAAGATTTTTTCCATTGCCAAAGGCCTCCCAGCTTTCCCCTTCCTTATAAAATGCACAAGTCTTGTGCTGCTCTGTGGTTGCAGAAAACATTTAACCCGCAGCTTTTATTCAGGTGAGTATTACAGAATGGAGAATTCACTGCAACTTCCTACGTAAGCTGAAGTGTAGCAACGTGGCAGGGCTTTCTCCTGAGGTGGGCACTGAGTTTGCCTCAGCTGGATCCTTCTGTATGAAAATATATTTGGATAAAGAGGTTCAGGAGACAATTATTTTGGCAGCCATAGAAAAGAAGCAGAATATCGTGTTCCTCTCCAGGACATGGTGCAAGCCTTATGCCCAGCAGTCATCAGAATGGCATTGCTTTCTGCCTTTGTCCATTAGTTTCCAGTAAAAACACAACTGTGGGCACGTTTCCACTCGAGGATCTTTGCCTTCTGCCATTTCCAGGCTCCATGGAAATTTCAGTGGCTGGCACCAGATACATAAGTGAAAGGAAACTCCAATTTTATGAGCAAGTAGAAACTTAAACCAAGCAAACTGTTTCTTGTATTTTATTTGCTCTATTAAAAAAAGTCTAGGATTAAAAAAAAAATGCTGAATATAAAAATGACATTTACTTTACAGGTGTCTGTAGAAATCTGGGTTTATTTTAAAAATAAATATAAAACCTGCAGAAGGCCTTAATTTGTTTTGCTACAAAATTCTCTCATTATAAAAGGCTGAAGAAAAAAGGTCCAACTAGTTCCTCTTCATTTTATGCTCGCTGCTTTAATCCAGTGTTGCAAATGAAGCAACAAACAAAATTCTGAGAAATACAAGAAGTTCCTACAACTACAAAAGCCTTCATAATACAACATTCAGCTGAAGCACAGCGACACTGACATGAAAGGATTTTCATTTTCTAAGAAATACTTGGATAAATTAGAGTTTGAGGGCATATGCATTCTTTTCTCATACTTAATGTACAGTGGCACTTTCACAGGGCACTTTCCAACAACTGGACCTGCTCAGCCCGAATCACCAAAATGCTCTTCCTGCCTGGCAGCAGCACTGCAGGTCACCCAGTGGGCTGGAAACTGGGCAGCACGTAGGGCTGGGTGAAAAAAGAGACTTTGGAGGAGAAAGGTCCCCATTAAAAACATGCTGAAAAGCATTTGTAATTCCCACATTTAACTAAGGTACAAAATTGCTGCTTCTCAGGTTCTTTATTGCAGCATCTGTTTTAGACTCTCATCCTAAAGGTTCATTTTTCTAAACAGCACAATTTGTGCAGAGGGTGAGATCAGTTCACTCCCAAATGGTTTTCTGCCTGTCCCTCCTGTAGATGCACAGGGATACACGGGGTTCCACGTTCCCAAAAGCTGGGCTTGCTGTGTATCTACAACAACTGTGCAGTGCACCATCATTACAATCAGCAGAGAATTTTAAAAAAATTTAAAAAAATCTGTCTGCACTCAAAGTAAAAATAAACGTGAAGTTTCAAAATCTCCTGAGCTAAATGCTTTGTAATCAATTAGAACTTTGGCTTCATTCCAACTTATGCATTTATTTTATAGTACAATGCAAAATAGAACTACAATGTGAATATTATAAAAGCTTTTTTTCCAGATGGGAATGCCAGAACATTTCCACTGCTTTTTTTTTTTTTTTTTTTTCTCCTTAAACATATTTCAGCAAGTATGATTTTATGAAAGCAGTTCATCTTCAGCAGAGTTGCACTCTGATAGAAAAGGGAACTGTTGACTTTTGAAAGTAGAAATGATGCAGCCCTTTAATTTTCACATTTGAAGGTTCTGCAGTTCTATTTGCATCATCTCAGTTGTTCTTATAAAACGTGCAAGTGTGTCTGTGTAATAGTTCACAGTGGATGTGCCCATTCCTATTAAGGCATTGAACTCTGGTCCGCTCTATCTAGATGGAGTGGTTCAGTTTTTCTTGTCTTTGTGCACTCGCACCAGTTCTGAAATAAGTACAAGTGGTGACAGAAAAGAAAGCACAAATGAAATGACAAAATTGATAAAATCATCACCATTGCAGAGATGTGAAAAAAAGAACTTTCACTCATTACGCCTCACAAGAAAAGAACCAAAGACACAAAGAAATGATCAGAGGAGGTTTAAGATGAAAAATTCAACCAAAAAACCCATAGCTTCCCACAGAAAGAATAATAAACTGAATTCATTGTGAAAGTGATGGAATTCGAGACGAAACAAAGTTAAAAATGGATGAGTACATGAAGGATAGGTTTGTTTACTTGCCATTAACCATAGGTCTTTTGCTGAAGAGCTTCCCCAAAGCCCCTCTGCTGACAGCCAGGAGCATCTGCCAGTGAGAAGTGACTTTCCTGGCACCTCTCCCACCTGCTCTGCTTTGGGCAGGGCACTGGGCTGGAAGGATGCAGACTTGCTCAGCATCTTCACAGAGATCTGCCCACACCACGCAGATGCCTGTTTCCATATACAGGAGTACAGATGTGCACTCCCAGCTCCATGTATGGAGGTCTGGGTTCACAAGCCCACCCAGATGCTGCATGGAATTCAGGTATGCTTTCAGCTTGGAAAGGCGGGCTTCAGAAGTCAGCAAGTTAAAAGGTGAGAGTCTAACCATAGACTTTTCTTAAGGCATCTTTCTCAAAAAGATACTGTGCAAAATATTTCTTAAATATCTGTTTTGATTAATAATCTGTTCTATCTAAGCTATAAAACGTGTTGTGCAACATGACTGAATGAATACTGCTGTGAGAAGTCTTTCCCCATGTTTGAGTCATTTAAATTTGTAAGCTAATGTAAGTTTTTGTATTAAATAATGTACTGTGTGCAATCTTCCTTCTTGTAAAGCACTTTGAAGCTTTCGAAGGGCACTCTAGATTAATAAATAATATGGTATTCTTTGCCAGAACTGTAGGGCATTTCCCATAAGTTCTGAATTTTCTTTGCCAGAATTGCAACACGTTGCATGCCAAATCCTGCACACAAATGCTCTGTATGTGGCAAATACATATTGGTAAAGACCAGAGGCATGGCATTCCTGGATTTCTTAAGGAGGATGGAGGAAGGGAAAGAAGTGGGAGGAAATAATGAGGGAGAGGAGGAAAGAAATTTGTCTGCGCACTAAAAAAAACAACAAAACCACCACCCAAACCAACCCATAACCCATACTTCATTATTGTCATTGTCATTACTGTCAAAACCGTTTGCTGCATGCAGCACAGACTCACAGGGGTACTCAGAGCTGGGTCTTCAGTTCCTCCTTCACTTACGGAAATCAGGCCTCCATTTTTGTCCTAGCTTTAGATTCTTCAAAACCATCAATTTCTGAAGGTCAAAACACCTGAAATCCTTGTTTCTTGAGCAAATGATAATTTCAGCAGAGAGACTGTGAGATTAAAGAACCACAGTCAGGATTACTACTATTTAACAGGCTGTGAAGACAAATCTTTCTCTTCAGAGTCGTGGATGCATTTCATGTGCCCTTGGCTACTGAACCCAGACCCATATTTTTGGAAAGAGAACACTTGGCCTTTTCGCAGTCTACTCCACAGATAACTAGGCTTCTATTTCCGTACCTTGGAAGAAGAGGATTAAAAAGCATAAGACCCAGAAATGAAGTCAGTGCATTTGACTGCATATTGCAGAGGTTACATTAATGAAGGACAGCAGGAGTTTAAAATTATTTCAGTTATCATTTTCTTGATTTAATTTCTTTTTTGCATTAAGCACAAACAAATAATAGCAACATTCCTCACTAGCTGAGACTGAACATCCACAACAGTAAAAAAAAAATGTTAAGGCGTTCTGCCCTTCTCTTTGTTGAAGAAATTAGTGACAAAAGTTCTTAATTACCCAGCAACAAACTGGTCATTTAGAAGGTACTAAAACCTACCTAGAGCAAATCAGGCCTAAGCATCAAGATTTGCCAGAAGTTTAAACGATCAACTGAAATTAAAATTGAACTCCACATTCTGTAATACTAAATGAACGTTTTGCTACATGGTTTTTTTTGAGGTGGCAAGAAACGAGCATAAAATCTTTGCTGTTGCCAGAATTAAATTGCTTGGAAAAAAATATCCTGTGGGTTACCATTTGTTGCCATGATTTACAAAGGTAAGGTCGATAGTCTGCATCAATTTCATGCTGAAGTTTCAAAGGAAAGAAGCTTTCTGCAGAGTTTGTAGATTTCTGCATAATGGACTGTGTTGTGGCAAACAGGACTAAGTGATGCTCCCTCACAAGCTTTTCAAGGAAGTTTGCACATTTCTTCAGGTTCATCTCCTGCAAGTTAAGACTCTCCCCTCCGTTACTTCTGTCGATCCAATAAAAAGCTGATATGCTATCTAAAATCAAAAGGCAGAGAGAGGGGTGGGTGCAAAACATGTTTTCTAGAGAATAAAGAGTGAGAAGTAACTGAGTGCTACTGTTACAGTTCACAAGAAAAAGCCTTCCCAGGCAGTGCTTCATCATCTCTTCTGTGCTTTGCTCCAATCTGTGCTCAAGAATGGTAACGAGACGAAGCATATCAAAATGGTAGTCTGTATCAATGAACATGACTTCTACTTCCAGTCCCCCTCCTGATTTTGGAATGATGCAGCGGGCTATCAGGTGATAAAGCATTTCAGTTTTTCCTGTTCCTTCTGGACCATGGAATTCAATGACATCTCCTGTTCATAAACAAAGAACAAGCTGTCACATGAGGGCTCCGAGTCAACTTTCAGTGTTTATGGAACAAATATTCACTATTCTGCTCATTTGAAAAAGCATTTTTGAAAGCTCCGAGAGACATAACAATTGTTTACATGCTAGTTAGCATCTAGCAAGAGAAATCAAATTGTCATGTGCTTGTCTGCTATCTGCACCCATCACAACATCCCAACAAGAGCCTGTGACCAGTAAAGAGAATGCCTGTATATTTAATACGAAGTCTTCTCTGTATTCGTAATGTGAAGCTGCTTCTTTCAACAAGAGGAATTCACAGATTACCTTAATTCCAGGCAACGATTCTCCTGTTGGAAACAGAGGTTCTCTGCTCACAACACTTTCTATAGTGGCGGTGCAGGAATAGAGAATCAATTGCAACTGTATTTAAACACGTTTGTTCCTGCCTGAGTCAACAGGGGTTTCAAGTCACAACTTAGAGATGATATCCTTGCTTGCAAGTGCATACAGTGTCAAGATGCAGTGTGGGAAAAGTGTGGCAGTGAAGAACTAAGCTCCTCACCCACTGCAAGTGTTTAAAACAATTGACACCTGATGTAACAATGCACCCATTTCAATGGCACTCAACTGCCCACCTCTCCCTACTGAAATTTCCTGCTTCTCCAACACTGCAATCTCATTTTCCTGAATTTCTGATACTTCAAAATTTATTTTAAAAGCTGGATAGCCTCCCAAATCCTTCCTTACTTATCTGTTCTGAATGGCTCTCCCCACTTTTGAGATGAAAGATGACTAAACTTCCTATGCCACTAATCTTCACTTTCTCTTCCTGCTCAGAAGTTGCAATGTCCAACTCCACCACTTGCAGCCAGTCACCTCTCTGCTGTGTCACACAGGTTACACCGGTGACACAACAGAACCCTGGTGCAATTATAACACCCGAAGGGAAAAGTCCTAAATACGCTGGGTAGGTCATGCCCCCATAGCTCAAGTCTGTTGAAATCTTTTACAAAATTGCGTAAGGTATCTGTCATTAAAGAGCAAAGTGTGTGTTCTGCTTGCTACTGGCTTCAGCACAAGCTTTCTGCTGCCCCAAATGGCATTGCTGAGCCCAGGTCAATGGCTGGCTTAGGCCAACACGCAATGCAGACTGTTAGACCTACCTTCCATACAACACACCTTCAAAGAATGCAGCAACTCCATCCCTTTCAGAAGCAGCAGTGGACAAATCTGATTTGCTATTCGTAATGATGCAAATTAATCATTCTGTGTAGTAAACGCTTGACTTCATCCACTTGAAAATGTTTTATCCAAAGCTCTCTACTATTTCCTATAGGGCCATACACATAACATTGGTGGGGCCTTTTTTGGGCAGAACTAACAGACTTATGTAAAACTTAGCTCAATGAAGAGTTTTTGTGGTGCTGGCTTATAAATTCTAATAGCAAGACTTAAAGTTTGTTCCATATTGCTAAACAAGATGTGCACCTCGGTTGGAGTTTGACCAAAACACTTAAGTTATGCTGATATTCTGAAAAGAGTAACAGTTTGGGCTATGAGAAAACCTCAAGGGAGCAGGGGATTTCTGTGCCTTCGTGATTATTGAAGGGACTGCCCACAAAAAGAACTGATGCAAAGCAGAACCCATTTATAGCAGTAACTATAAATGTAGGGTTTCCTTCAATTAGAGGCCAGGCTGCTACAGTAAGATAAGGAAGGGAAATTCATCCTTCTGGATCAGAGCGGACAAATGATGACACAGCAGTGCAGGAAGTGTGGCCAGCAGTGTTTTCAAAAAGCCACTGACACTATCTCTCACAAAAGGTCATGGAGGAAAGCGAGGGATCAGGACCAGCATCATCCATTAATGTCAAAGCACTCTGAAGGGAGGATTAGTATAGAAGTACTGTTCAAAGTATGGAAGCAGCCTGAGAGGCTGGGTAGGAACAGACACTTTAACATGGAAGAAAGATAATGGGAAATTATTGTATTAGAATTCGTGTAGCCTGACATTAACAGTATCAGTAAAGGAATGTTCCATTAGATTGGCAGAACATGTGAAAGAAAGACAAACCTACTGGGTTAAGTTAGGCTGGAAAGGTTTAACAGATCAAGGTGAATTATCAGAATTATTTGATAAGAAATTCAGCACTGATAGACTGAAGAAGTATGTTTTAAGGAGCAACCCAACACACCACTGGGCTCTTAACAGCTTGAACTACAGACAAAACACCAGGCCCACGATGGGCAGACAAACCAGCACCTCTGCTATGCAGGATAAGCTAAATGATGTTGTGTAAACATCAGTATTCATATAACACTAATCTATTTTAAAACAAAATGCTGTGCTCCATCCTAGCCATCAGTTCTGTGTCACTGTTAGAACCACAAGAGTCTGAGACTTTTCTATACTCGTTACGCTACTGAATGTTGGTCAATCTATTTTGTGATGCTGCGTTCAGAAGCAGGCTGTTGGAATCCTCAGCAACAGCACTGCAGGTTTCATCAAATGCCATCATATACCTTGAAGTTACTGGGCTAGAAATTTATCATACTGTGTAGAAGCTGTCACTGATATTTGTAAGTGGGGTAGAAAGGCATAATATTTATTCCAAATTAATTCTGGGTGTCATACTACTGCCGCACACCAGAGCTTTATATGGACACCCACACCTTCATGCCAATGGCACAGGAGAAATATGACTGGCTATAGAGGAAGCTTATTTAAAGCTCATGTCATTTTTGCTCTATTCCAGAAGAGCCCAAATGGTATGTAATTAACATACATGTGTTCTTAAATATACAATTCCATCATAATTGGAAGCAGTGACTGGAATATCACAGCAGTACCTCTATTAACAGTTCCTATTTTATAATATTCTGTCACACGTGTTATGAACACTTAACTATGATGTAACCTTTGTATAGTTTATTGAAACTTTATATATATTTATGTTGCTTTGTTTCAAATACCATCAGGAAAGTAAAATTTAGGTCATTGCATTGCCTTCATCTCATCATTCCTTCATGGTCAACATGTTATAGTATTCCATAAAGACCCACTGAAAATGAAGTTTGTGACAAACTGAGGCAGATATTCAACAGGGACTGGATAATGAGAATGCACGTGAAAAAAAAACACATGAACTCATAAATAAATATACTGTGGTATTAAAGACAAAGTAAAAATATAATAGAAGATGAAGTCCATATATATATATATAAAGATTTCTGCTAACATTACACAACTCCATTAGTGTCAGCCAAAAAGCATGAGCAGCACAGATAATAATTCATGCCATTGGTTAAAAGCAAAAGAAAAAGAGAAGTGCTTTATAAGTTCAGTGAATGTATTGGCACAGGGAGAAACCGGTGATGAAATCAAAAAGTTCCCATCCATCTCAGAGCAGAGGTTCTGGAAGAGTGTTTGGACAGCCTTGAACAACACACAGAGCTTTAAGATCAAAGCAGATATGTTATGAATGGAACTATAAAACCCTGCTGACTGAAGTAGTGAGGGCAATTACTGGCCCCCAAGAGAGGCTTCTCATAGGCTGTTCTACCAGGATGTGCCCCATTCAGCCTCAATTGTTTTTTGTATGTGAAGTACAAAAATAGACCAAAATATAGCATTTTCTAATCCTGCATTTGTAAAAAAGAAAAGTATTTCATCTCAAAAAAACCCAACAATAAAACTTCAGGAGGCATTTGAAGCATACACCATTTTCAGGATTTTTCTTGCGGGTAACAAAACAATTCAGAATGAAGAGTATTTAAATCACCTTCTATTCTCTGCTCCATTCACAATGACTTACCAACATTTCTCTGCCCTTTGTCTTTGTTATATCACATTTGAAACTTCTATGGGTAGGAATCATATATTGCTGAACTCTTAATGTAGTCCCAAGTGCTGCAGAATAACACACAAATGGGCACACGGAGACTGCATTTGTAGACTGAGCATCATCCCTCATCCAATTACCTTGATTCTTTTTATTGCTTTTTCTGCTATTTCTTCTGAACCTGCTATAATTTGTGGCAATCCAAATTGCAGACATGTTGATAAGTGCTGCAGCCACACACTTCTCATATTAAGTCTATTCATTCATTCATTCATTCATATATAGATAGATAGATAGATATTCAACAATGGTAGCACCTCACAGCATGAGCCTTTCAGTTTCTGATTGATCTGCCTTTGTTATCAGGTATTCCAAGCTTTGTGTATTCAGAGCAGCCTTTTCCACTGTAAATCCACAGGATTTCACAATCTGGAAAAGCTGTCCAACAACATCCTGGACAATCAAGGAATTACTGGATGTGCTCCTTTCCAGTGAGCTCAGTGATTTCTTTCATTACAACTTTTACATTGACATGGTTGCATAAATATGTTAAAGATACATTTTTACCATGAACAGGAGATCCTTCCTCAGCAAACAGATTAGGTTCAAGGTTTTTCAGTGAACTTCTGCCCTCAAGGCGTGCAAGCAGCTTTAACAAAAAGATAGAAGAGACATGCTGTTACCTCAAAATAATGGAGCTTGGGAATAACTTTCAAAGGATTCCAAGAATGGGGAGTATTCAATGACAGTTCTATTTTAAAACATTTTCATAAATACACATGCAAACCCACAAAATGGAGGACAGCAGCAGAAGTCTCCATCCTTACAAACACAGGTCCAATGGCAATAAGGAACAGATATACACCAGGAGAAATAAAGGAGAAATAGAAAAACAAACGAAAAAGCTGCACAGGCAGACTAACAATAGGGATTATCTTAGAATCACAGAATGGCCTGGATTGAAAAGGACCACAATGATCATCTACTTTCAACCCCCCTGCTGTGTGCAGGGTCACCAAACCACCAGACCAGGCTGCCCAGAGCCACATCCAGCCTGGCGTTGAATGCCTCCAGGGATGGGGCATCCACAACCTTGGACAACCTGTTGCAGTGCGTCACCACTCTCTGTGTGAAAAACTTCCTCCTAATATCTAACCTAAACCTCCCCTGTCTCAGTTTAAAACCAGTCCCCCTTGTCCTGTCACTATCCACCCTCATGAACAGCCATTCCTTCTCCTGTTTATATGCTCCCTTCAGGTATTGAAAGGCCACAATGAGGTCTCCCTGGAGCCTTCTCTTTTCCAAGCTAAACAAGCCCAGTTCCCTCTACCTTTCTTCATAGAAGATTACCTCTGGTATAGAGCAGTGAAGGCATCAGACAGAACAAAAGGACAGAAGATCACGTGTAACAACCATCTCCTCCACACTACTGGTTGAGGTGAAGCATTACCCATCATGAGTGTTAGCACACTTATATGTAAAAACATGCACATTTCATTTGAAAAGTTGTACAGAACTCCCATGGGCTACCACTCCTATTGCATTAGAGCTACTTGTTCAAACACAGTATAGATTAAAAACAATCCAAAGCAATTAGCCACCAATGGCTTTTCAAGAACCTGTGTAAAGCAAGTCCAGATTTGTAAAGTGAGTTCCTCCAAAGTGCACCGCAAAGCGAGCCGATTGTAAAACAAGTTAGCCAAAGTTCATGGACAGTTTCTTAAATTGACAGGTATTCGTGTAACAAGCAGACACAGATTCACCCAGCTCTGCAGTGCAGTTTTGGCATAGGAGAATCAGCACCTCACCCAATGCTCTTGTTCCCTATGAGTAGCAATACATGTGGGAAAGGACTCTGTGGGATGCCCAGAGCACTCCCAGCACCAAATTTAATTCTGCAGGACACCCAGCTGTCATTCAAAGATTTAAGCAAAACCAAAAAAAAATCTTATTTGGTTTCACTGCATCCTCCTTACATGGAACGAGCACAAAGCTTTAAATGTACACCGTCTTATCTCACTTTCCTCCCTGCTGTATCAAGGAGGAGCTTTTGCTCTGAATTCTCTTAAAAGATGTTTAAACAGTTGTGCATGTGTTTGCCTTTAATAGCGGAATAAAGCCGCATTAAAGTGCCCTGAATTTACTTGAAGTGGTCATGATGGGAATCTAAGTGTGACATTTCCATTGACATTTTACCATTCCCTTCCATTAAGAAAATGTCAATGTGTTCACCTTTGTTTGCTCGTTCCCACATTATCAGGAGAGTTTTCTGACAAGCCCACCGAGGGGCCATGAACTGCTGGGCTGACCTCACTGTGGACCTGCAGACTCTCCTGTCACACTGCCCGTGTTTGTGTAGCAAACTGAACACACCAAGACCTCTTGAGTATTCAGGGAACCAGTAGGGTTCTGTGATCTGGGCGAAGCAAACAACTGGATGGACATCTATAGAGAACACAGAAACATTTATGAGCCCCTACACACACACCCAAAATGCAGCTGTGGCCACCCATACCCCAGCAGCAGCCCCAGTCCATGGCAGGAGAAGCTCCCCCAGCAGCAGACAAGGGCTCTCACCCCCCCTCATGTGGCAATGCAAGCTGTCAGAGACAGGAAACCACCACAGGCTTCTGCTCCTGATGCCCTTCAGCTCCCAGCAATAGGACAGGGGCTGGGAGCAGCAGCACTGCTGGACTGCAACACAGTGCCCTAAGGAAACACATTTCTGCAGCTGCTGCTCCCACATTTATCTCTACACTAACAAATACATTCCCTGCAGACTTTTTTTTTCTGGAAACGAAGAGTCCCTTTTTCTTCTCAGACTATCACCTCCTCAGCTTACTGCCACAGCACTGGAAACACTCAGCAGAGCGATGCTATTGTTTAAATACGAATCCGTCATTGTTTAAATGAGTTTATACACTCATTTTAAATAACTACAGGTGCTCACTCCGAGCAGTCCTCCTGTTGGTAATTTATGGTAATTTGCTGATGATAGCACACCTGTGTTTTTATCAAACTCCTATTTACTTCCGAGTTCTGAAGCAGAATCTCCAAAGGCACTTGCCTCATTAGTGTCACACTGTGAGCAATGGGGTTCCTGGCAGAAGGAGCGAACAATTTGCCTTCCCAGCTCACAAGGGTTTGTCCACACTCTGACAGAAGTGACAGCAGCTGAGCTGTACCGTGATGAGACAGCAGACAGGGATCCCTCACCTCTGCAGGCACAGACAGTGACAAGGCGGGTTTTCCCAAACCAGCAGGAACTGCCTTGGCTGCGTTCCAGGGAAGGCATTTCCATGTTGCCTACTTACACTGTCTTCTAGATAATGAGGGAAAGGGAACATCTATGGGGATTAAAGGGTGGTCTCGATGATGGAAGTCAGGTGTCTCAGAATAGCTGTGGGTGAAGTCCTGCCATGCAAAAAGCACAGAGAAAAAAGCACCATAATTTGAAATCGTGTAATTCAGACTTCTGATTCTGTAATTTAGCTGTAGATGTTCTTCCTTTATAATGCTCTTTCATCATCTTTCATAGAAAATGTCACCTTTTAGCAACATCCTGGTGGTAGGTCTTCCCTTGTACGCATTCTTGAGAAGTGCAATTATTCATGCAAGAAACTGCACACAGGTGCACAGAGTAGGGAATAACATCCAGCATGTTGGGAATAACAATCCAGCATGAGTTGGGTTAAATGTCATTAATGACAATGCTCAAATATTTCAGCGGTGTCTTTTATCATTTATCAATGCCATCTTTTTAATAAAGAAAGATGCATTTGAATATCCCATTAACTAAAACATCACACACTTCCACCATATAGGTCTCAACAAAGCTAGGCATAAATGTAAGCATACGTGTAGGCCTTGTCAGAAATGAGATATTACTTAATTAAAATGTTAAAGAAATTCAAATTAAATACTTGAACTCTGCTAAGGGCTGTGAGCTAACCTACAGGCTATTTGTAAGTACAAATCTATCTCATGCATGAGACAAATCTTAATTCTCAACCACCACAACCACTCCACCTGAACTTCTGTAAACTTTGGGCACGAAGATCTGTGCTAGCAATTCATCACTTATTTGCGATGCACCAATGGCATTCTAATTTGTTGCATTAATTACACTGAAGAATAAAATTACAAGGCTGTGATCTCCGTATAATCCTCACTAAAATCAGAGCTTAAGCATCAGGATGTCAGAGGAAGCTTATTTTCAGTGAAATGCTGCTTGAAGGGCTTTACCTGGATGGTGCACATCACTCCTATGGAGGCGGTGGGATCACTGTCCCTGGGGGGGTCTCAGAGCCGTGCAGATGTGGCACAGAGAGCCACGGTCAGTGGTTATGGTGAGGTGGGCTGGGATTGGACCTGGTGATCTGAGAGGTCCTTTCCAACCTTTGTGATTCTGCGATTGCACTGTAAGATTCCATCAACCCATCGGCCGCGGGCTCCCGCCTCGCTCAGGTTTGGTCATCAGTGAGTGTTTTAAATGCCAAAAGGCCTTAAGAACAGAAGTCCCTTATAAGAAAATGGCGTTTTAACACACAATAATTAAGACCACTCGTGTTGCTATGCTTTTATGCGTTCCACGCAGCGTTACTGCGACAGGGTAACGCACAAACCTCCAGGTAATGAACTTGCTGACAACGAGCAGGAATAACAAACGCTTCAGGGAAAGAAAAACCCGAAGAGCCCCCAAACTGAACCTCCTCACGTCTGAAGAACAGGATTCTACCACCCGCACAGCACGTAAACCACCACCAGCCTTCCCCCATCTGTTTCACGGCTTTTCTTCCTCACAGCACCCGCTGCGCCGTTCGGGAGCGGGAGAGCGAAGCAAACCCTCACAAAGACATCGCCGCCACAGCTCGAAGCGCTCCCGCCTCACGCCGCCACAGGCGCAGCCCCGCAGCCCGCCGCTCCCTCAGGCGCTGCCCGCCCCCTCCCGGAGCCGCGCTCCAGGGCAGGCGGGGGGAAGGGCGGCGGAGCGGAGGCGGGCGGGTGCGGCCGGGCCGCCGCCCCTCCCCTCACGCACCGCCCTCGCGGGGCCCGACCGACGCGGGGCGCCCGGCCCTGCCCGCGTGGTTACGCGGCGCCGCCCTCAGGGGGCGGGATGGGGCCGGCCGCTCCGTTCCCCGGACTGAGAGGAGGCGCGGCGCGCAGCCGCCATCGGCCCTTAGGCGCCCCGGGGGCTCTGAGGGGAGCGGGGGCAGCGCCTCACCTGAGTGCCCGACTCCGCCCTCCGGAACGCGTCACCCATAGCGCGGCCGGGGGAGGGGGCGCCGCTCCGCTCCCGATCCCCCTCCGGCCCGGCGGCCTGCGGCAGCTGCGCAGTCGCGTTGCGGCCGGGCGGCAGCTGGCGGAGCTGTGCGCATGCGCGGTTCGGGCCGTGGGACGGGCGGTTCCGTCGCGGGTTCGAGTCCGTTGCCGTCTCTGGCGCTTGGCGTTCCCGTGGGAGCGGTCGCTGCGGGGAGGCAGATGTTTGTTTCTTTTATAAAAAAAGGCTTATCTCCGTTAGAGGTTGTTGGTTTTCTCTTGAGATGGAGGTGGGCGTTTAGGAAGGCCTGCAGGCCCCGGGCAGGGCGTGGTGTCTGTCAGGACAGGAGGCCGCAGCCCCGCCCCGAGCCACCACGGCGTGCTGTGCTGGGCTCCGTGTTCACCGCGGGCCTTTCCTGTGCTTTTGGGAGAAGTCCCGTTTCCCAGTTGTATGCAGAAACGTGAGGAGCGCAGGCTGTTGTGTGCAGAAGTGGCTGCTGGGGCTGAGGTGACTCAGAGGAAACTCATCTGCGTGGCAGTCATTAAGCTCCGACGCTGGCAACGTTAGCCCTGTAGAAGCCAGCTATCAATTATGGCTTATATTAAAAAAAAGTCTGGGATATTTGACGTGCATACCTCTGAATGAGCCGGCCTCGTGTGGCATGCAGTGCTCCAGGGCGGGATCCCAATGCCCAGTGAGGCTCTGGTGGTTGGTAGTGGCCCATTGGCCATTCCCCTTCAGCAGGGGGAAACGTGGACAACCTGTTTGTGTTTTCTGTAGACTCGGTGCTAGCCAGCAGGGATAACTATAGCAATCCCACTCCCTGTATCTGCATATCAAAGAACAGCAGTGATATCATCTCTTTGGGATGAGGGAGGTTATCAGTGATACTGCACGTTCTTACAGATAGGAGGAGAAACCAGTGGTGGAGTTCTTTGTTTCTTCAAAGAAGTGAAGTTTGTCTACATAAAAAGAGTCTGCTGGAGTGAGATTGAATCTACCACGAATCAGAAAAACCTAACCTCAACTGGAAGGCGTAGGCTTTGTTTACTTTTTAAACCTTCTTTCAGCCCCAAATAGCTCCCTCTAATTCAAAACACCCTGTTGTTGCCACCTAGTTCAAGGTTTTTAGCTGAATGCCACTTGCCTCCACAAAGACAGGAACATTTAATCGCATTCCAAACGGTACTTTCAGTGTCAGGTCCTCAGTGTCCAATGTCTTATTAAATCACAAGAAGTAAGTACTCTTTTGGACAGCTGTTGTAGGCTTTCTTATTCTCTGGATATAAATACATGTAAAATTATCAAAAGCAAAGGTGATTAGCTCTCTAGTATTAAGTTGGTGAGGTTGGAAAAGACTACTCTCATCTAGTCCAACCCTCAGGGCATCCCCACCACATCCACTAAGCCATGCCCCTCAAAAAGGTAAGACTTGGATGGCTCCGTGGGGACACACAGCATGAAATGCAATTTTGAAGGTCAGACGACCTTAAGAGTTGTGTGCCTGACTGTTCTTACAGTACCATAGAGGTCTGGACCGTGTTCCCTGGAAGTATTCAAAAGGTTTCTTAATTAGAAGTGATTGCCCTTGAAGCTGACTGATGATTGAACCTAACCCGACAGTAGAGCAGACTCACTGTGAATTATGACAAAGACACTACTCATTGCATCAACCATGTGATTATTTTTTTTTTTTAATTATAGCCTCTTTGTTGCTGTTCTCCTCTAATTAAAGCCATTGCACTAATTTAAAAAAGTGATTGCTGTTTGAATTCGGAAACATAAAATACACATAAATGCCAGTTGACTGAAACCCACTCCTACCTCATCGCTAACCACTGTCTGTATCTTGGTAGGGTGCTATGGGAATTCTGTGTGGGTGAACACAGTTTTGGTATTACAATCTAATGCAAGATGAAGTCTCACAGTTGAGTGGAGATCAAGTGACAAAGATTCCAGAAAGAGAGGCTAAAAGCATTGAACTCACCAGAGCAGTAGAAAAACCAGATATTTAATGGCCTGATTTGTTTAGTACATAACAGAAACGTGTAAATCAAATAAGTGGTCATCTTGATTGGCAGATTGCAGTAACCACCTCTCTTATGTTACCTTTGCATTCATATGCTTAATACACTGAGGCTGGCATTATTAATTTAGAAAATTGATATTTGCTCTGACAGTGCTCTGCCTTAATAAAGAATCACATTTTTGCTTTTTACATTTATTTATCAGTACAGTTACTTTTCTTGGCAGATAGAAATGTTGGCATCTTGTCAAATTCAGTATTATATTTTTTTTCAAACTTGCCAGTGTATTTCTCATCCGTTTCCCTTTTTTGGTTTTGTGTGTGTTTAGTAATCTCCGTGTTTACCTTGTACCTTTAGAGAAAAACATTAACATAGGTAAGCAAGAAGACTCTTTACCATTGGCTTTATCAAAGATAGATAGGAATCTACTTTCCATTTCTGCTTTATTTTGTTCTGTTTACATTCTTTTTTATTTCTCTGCAGCATTCCTGAGCAATAGGGAGCACCAGGAGTACAGTATCCTACCTGCACCTTATTCTGTTTTTCTACTACAAAGAAGAATCCTCCTTAAGACAGAATCCTCCTTAATGCAGAATGGCTATAAGTAGATCGTTCTATCCAGGGACTCTATGCCCCAGCACTCCTGTTTCTACAGGCAGAAAATTAGTCTTCCTTTGTTTGGCATGTGGGGAGCCTCAGGGTGCCCCTTGAGCCATAGGCACTGTTTATGTAGCAATTCAGCAGCAAGAGCAATGACTTTTCTAATGGCAGAAAGATCAGGCTCTGGGGGTGTGCATCTCTGTCTGCACAAAGTGCACATTGTGGAGAAAATTCCTCTTTCCCAGTCTACATTTTGAACATCTTCCACAGTGAGAGGTTTTCCCCTGCACGTGTTTAAGACATTCACTGTTGAGAGAGAAAATGATGGTGCTAAAGAGGAAGGCATTTAATATGAAGTTGCAGCCTCAAGCAGAATGATCTTTTTTTATTATTATTATTATTTGTATTTGCTTATTTGTCCGTTCATCATTACTAATTTCAGCCAACAGAAGGAAACTGGGTTGGGTTCTGGGGAAGGAAGGACTTGCATGAATGCCCAGGGGCTGTAGAGACCTGAGTCGACTGTTTATATAAACATTAACTTTTTTTTTTTAAGACACAAAGTCCTAACCTTAAATTGTCAGTTGGTCTGCAATACAGAGACAGCCCAGAGAATTAACACCCCATCCTGGAACAAGGCCTGAGGTAAGAGCTAAACAATAGGGAGAAGCACAAAGCAAACCAGTGCGGTGACAAGAAATGTAGACTGTGTGAGGATGTTTGTAAAAAGGTTAAAATACATCAAGTTTTTATATTTAATTAGGTAATAGCTAAATTAGAATCTGGAATTTAAATGTTTCTTCCTTTAAGCAGTTTTTTTTTCAATCACAGAGATTTTGTTCCAACATGAGCTTCATTATTTTTGTGTATTGTCACTTAATGTTCCTTGCAAGATTTGTGTGGGTGACATTCCAGCACAAACCAGCTCCAAACGGATCTTCTAGGTTGAAAACAGTTTGTTCATATAGTTGAATTAAACTCTTTAGTGAAGTCAGCTGTTGTTTTGCTCATTAACCTCTAGAACACCTTTGCTCCAAATGTGACAAGTTGGCTATCTGAAAACTCACTTAAGCAGAAGAGTCACTCTGAAAGACAAAACAGAAAGGTCTCATTTTTTCAGTCTGCCTCATTTACTCCTTTGTCTGGTTACCCTCAACGCCCAAAAGGCTGCCGAACTAAAGACCACCTCAAAGTTGTAAATAAGTCTCAGCTAATACTGATAACAACAATAACCATTTTGAAAGTTCTGACTTAAGGTGGATGTTGAATCTGCAGGTGGCAAAGCAAATGATGGACTGCCTTTCAGATCATGCACAACCTGTCTGTTGTGTGACTCCTCCAGTTTCATGTGGCTGATTTCTGCCCCACTGTTCCAAGTTTCTCTCAATAACTGAAGTGATCTGTCACTGGGCTTTATTAGATTTTCTGAGAGCAGATGGCTGATTCTTCTTACCTGGAGAGCTGCCACTTTCTGTAAATGCATCTCAGTTTTACAGTAGTATAATTTATCTGTTTGCATGACAAATAAGCAGGTTAAATTACAAGGGTGTTATAATTTCAATGGCTTTAGAGAAGGTGATAGATTTGCTGTATAACCTGGGGGAAAAAAAAGAGGAAAGAATTGAGTCCATTGGTGGATGGGCTGCTGGCCATGAAAAAACAACTCAGGACGTTACTAAATTCTGGCATCTGTTGTAAAGTTTCAGAGCTGGTTGCTGGATATTCTGCTTTACATTTCGGCTTGCAGAGCTACATCGTAAATAAACTTGGTCTGTGTAGCCATTCACATATACTCATGAGTAGACTTCTTATTTCTGGAGGTTGCCTTTTATCAGCTTGTATTGCTGAGTTTGAATTCCTCTTTGTTTGTTTGCACCAGGTTGTTCTTTTCCTGCTGCTGCTTCCGTCCTGTTTGAATAATTCTGTGCTGGCTCACTGTGAAACTGCCAGATATCCCTTATGTAGCAGTTAGCCACATAGATAAGGACTGGTTTTGTATTGGTGACCTGGCGAGGGCTATTTCTTGCTTATACGAAAGCTGTCTTTATTTGGCACCTGATCTGGGGCCCAATTGAAGTTAGCAATAAATTAAAAACTTATTATTTTTATATAAATATAAGGAGAGGAGCATGCAATTTATAGAGACAGATGAGTAGTCAGTGGTGACTGCGGAGGGAGTTTGGTTCTGAGTTCTCTAGCTCTGACCCCTGAGATTCCCCATCACTGCTCATACCCCACAGACCAGAATAATACTACTTTGCCCTAGCCAAACATGTTTGATAAAATGCTCTCCATTTCTACTAAGCTGCTTGATGAAGTATGGATGATCTTTCTAAATTCTGCTCTTGCAAGTTCTTCTTTATTTAAATGTTGCCCTTACAAACCTCAAGTTTTACAAATGTGGCGAAGAAACCATACAAGTGGTATGGCCTTGCTGGAAAATCAATGCAAATCCTAGGCTTATCAATAGAAATGAATTAGAAGGTTAATTAATTAGCTATGTATGCCACCCTGGATATGCTGCTAAAAGGTACATCCAGGTAGCTGACAGTGACTCCAAGCCGACTGGTTCTCCTTAATGAAAGCAAACCAGACCTTGCCCCTGTGGTACAGAGAGTTCTCTGTACTAATGGTACAGGTCAAATGTGCATTTCAAACCATGAGATAAAGCCCAGGAAGAATAAGTGAATAATCCAGGCCATTTTCTTTTCTTTTTCTTTTTCTTCTTTTAATTTTTTAAGAACTGACTAGGGAATCCCCATTTTACCCTTTTTACACAAATTTAGCATTAAAGTTTCTGTTTTCTGTAATCCCTGCGGACCTCCTGTCAGCGTGAAATATACATCTATTTCTTTTCTTTTTGATCTTAACACTTGTAAGTAATAAATAATTGATTGCCAAAGGAATTCTGGGAATATATTCAGCCCTAAATTGAGCACTAAACTATTTGCAAATGTGCTTAGGCACCAGCCCAAAAGATACATCAAAAGAATGTCAATTGGATATTGGGAAGCAAAGTGCCATCATATGTTAGAATTAAGAAGCATAAAATATAAGTAGAGAGATAACAGCTGTCAGAGCTGATGGTGGTAGTAATAGGAAAAGGTATGTTTTTATAGAAGGCTATAAACCTTTGTTTAAGCTAGACCACACTTTCACCTCAGTAATGACTCTCCAGGCCATATTCAGGGAATGCCTCATTTGTTGGCTACTGTCTTGAAAGTGGGGCTTGATGGTGAACTTACCCAAGAGATATCAACAACTTTATCTGAATCATCTTTGAAATAAATCTATTAGAAAAAAACTGGGGTGTATCTGGCTGCCTTTAGTGTGGGTGACAGATTCACTGTCGCAGTCTTACATCACTGTGTCTACAAGCCCCAGCATGAGCTTGGACAGTAATGCCAGTCTGCTTCTGTGGCTGTGCTTGCAATGCAAACAAAATCCCAATACCTGAATGTCTGTTGAACGTATTTAGATGTTATATGATGTTAGTTTTGCCAGTGCAACTGAAGCTTGATATGCTTTTGATGGGGCACATACTCTTGGAATTCATTTCCGAACACACAAGAACACGATGACAGGAAATGACAAGGATGAATGAACATGGATTTATTTACCAACAGTAAATCATGCTTGACCAACCTGGTTGATAGATATATAGTTAAATAACTGGCTACAAAGATGGGGGAAGACTGATGAATGTAATGTATCTCATCTTTAGTGAAGTTTGACAACATAGCATCCTTATCTGGAAGCTGAGAAAGTAATGGTTTGCTGAGCAAAATGTTACATTAGTTGAAAATTGCCTGGATCTCAAGATGTGATGAACAGTAATCAGTAGGCCAGTGCCCAGCTGGTGACAGGTAATAGATGAGAGCCCCAGGGTTGGTACTGGGGCTGATACTCCAGTATTTTCATTGTGTTCAGTGAGCACCTTCAGAAAGCATGCGTGTGGTGCTGCACTGAGGGAAATGGCTGTCACGCTCAACTGCTTCAGTCTAGAAGGGTCCTGAAATACAGCACTGG